ACACCGTAATTCACAGGTGTCAGTTCTTCTTCGGCCTTCCTTATTCATTGTCCACCTTTCACCTACCCCCCTTTACTTCTAACTCCAGGAGCCCTAGTGGCGCAATGGTGAAGCGAGCAACTGCTGACCAAAAGACTGTCAGATCTGAACCTGCTCAGAGACTCTGCGGGAAAAAGACCTGACGATCTGCTCCCATAAAGATTACAGCCCAGGAAACCCTAGGGGGCAGTTCTAGTCTGTCATATAAGGTCACTGTGAGTCCGAATCAACTCAACAGCACACAACACTCCTAACTCCTCCAAAAGACTGAACAATTCCTATCTATCATCTGTCCATCCATCCATCCATCCATCCATCCATCCATCCATCCATCTGTCCATCCATCCATCCATTTATCTAACGTATATAACATTTCAATTTAACTGTATAAATACACATATACATGGGTGTATATGGTTATATTGAAATGAATTTATAGTAATATTACTTGGCTAGCACTATTAGAAATCCCCCGGGAATTGGAGCAGAGGAGGGAAACGCAGTTCTTCTCTGTCTTCCAAGGGAGACCCCGTTAGCCCTGCATTCCTGCTCACGCTCCTGCTGAGCCCCTGTCCTAATACATCTCACCCCCTCCCCATGGTCCCTCCAAACCGGAATGAGAGCAGCACCTGCCCAGCAGGGTGGCTTCGGTGTGCGAAGGGCTCGGAGCTCCTACAAACAGAAGGCGCTTAAGCACAGGAGAGAGGAAGGTCCTGCCCTTGAATTCCTCCACCTGGTGAACTCTCCCAACTCCCCCGCCAACACCTGCACACTGGGCTCAGAGGGGCTGAGCTGTCCGCTCACCTAGGCACTGCGCGTGGCACGCGCCCTGGGCAGAAATCTGGCCTGTGGTGCCTCTCCTGGTGCATGGCCCTGGAGGTGTCCCTTCTCTATTCTGGGCTCAGCTCCCCACTGTGCATGGAGAAATCAGACACCTCAGAAGGTCAGCAGGAGGATTCCATGAGGCCACACATGTAAAGGGCTAGCCCAGCACCTGACACGTACGTGGCCATCCATACTAGCAGACATCATCGCTCTCACAGACACGTGGACAAGCTGGTTAAACACGTCAGGATTCCTCATCCAGTCGGGAGCTTTCCGTCTCAGGCTCCCGGGATCATGGCAGCCAGTAACACCTCCCGCAGTGGTGACATGCAGGCTGCCATCTTCCAAACGCCAAGCAGTGTGCTGAGGCCAGACCACAGATGCAGTGGGGTCCTCGGGGCAGCAGGGGGAGGGCCCTCAGGGCATCAGGGGGGGGGCCCTCAGGGCAGGTGCAGGAGGGCCCTCAGGGCAGGTGCAGGAGGGTCCTCGGGGCAGCGGCAGGGATGTGGTGCAGACCTGGGCTTCCGGCGTCCCTGAGTGTGAAGGAGAAGGGGGTCTCGAGCTCCCCCAGGTAGGATGCCCCCAGATCTTTCGTTTGTGACCCCAGTCTTCATTACCATGTTTGTCCTCTTGTTTTTGTCAGACCAACCTTTTTACACGTACAGTTCAGTGACTGATAGGTCCACAGGCTGTGCTACCATCACCACCGATACCGGGTTCCCGTCCCCAGTAGCAGATACTCACTGCTTCCTGAGCCGCGGCCCCTGCCGCCCTGCCGGGGAACCGCTGTGACCTTTGGTCTCTATGCACTTTAATCATTTTTAAGAAGTCCACATCTCAGCTCGAGCACACAGTGGGGCGAAGCTCACTGCTGGTGGGGGCACACAGGAAGGAGGGGGCCCAGTCCCCACATGTGGTGGAGCCCCACCAGATGGGATTAAACCCACCCTAAATGTAGAACGGAGCCCTGGTGGTGCAGTGGTTAAGAGATGGGCTGCTAACCACAAGGTCGGCAGTCCAAATCCACCAGCCACTCCTTGGAAACCCTATGGGGCAGTTCTCTGTCCTATAGGGTCGCTTATCAGTTGGAATTGACTCAACGACAATGGGTTTGGTTTTTTGTTTTTTTATTAATATAGAACAAAATTCAAACTCACACAAAAAAAAAAGACCAGACTTACTGGTCTGACAGAGACTGGAGAAACCCCAAGAGTATGGTCCACGGACACCCTTTCAACTGAGTTCTGAAGTCACTCCTGAAGTTCACCCTTCAGCCAAAGATTAGACAGGCTTATAAAACAAACAATAACACATGTGGTTCAACCATGTATACGAGACTAAATGTGCACACCAGCCCAAAAGCAAAGACAAGAAGGCAGAAGGGACAGGAAAACTAAATGAATGGAAATGGGGAACCCAAGATCAAGACGGGGAAGAGTGTTGACACATCGTGGGGTTGGCAACCAATGTCACAAAAAAAAAAGACCCCCCTCGTCCCACTCTGGTATGACCTCATGTGACCTTAACTGATAATATCTTCACAGACCCTATTTCCAAACAAGGTCACATTCACAGGTACGGGGGTTAGTATTTCTACATATCTTTTAGGGGACACAGTCTAATCCATAACAAGTAACAAGAGATAAGGTCTATATAAAATCAAAGTTGTCTGCTGCCATCAAGTCAGCCCTCAACTCATGGTGACCTCATGCACAACGGAGCACCATTCCCATGATCAGCTGTGGATCAGACCCTTGTGATCCATAGCTTTTCATTGGCTGATTCTTGGAAGTAGATCATCAGGCCTTTCTTCCTAGACCATCTTAGTCTGGAAGCTCTGCTGAAACGTGTTCAGCATCATAGCAACAGGCAAACCTCCACTGATGGATGGGTACCGGCTGCACGTCAGGTGCATGGCCAGGAACTGAACCCAGGTCTCCTGCATGGAAAGCGAGAATCCTACCACTGAGCTATTACTGCCCCCCTCCTCAATGACTGCATTCCCCTTAGCCTCACTGACTGAACCCCATTCAACAGCCTATGAAATGGAAATATTCACACCTGTGGAGACTCCTCCCTCCTCACCTAGGAACAAAGTGAGGCTCCGTGAGATACCGTAGATCATGGATTGAATTATGTCCCCCAAAAAATGTGTGCATCTATTTGGCGGGGCCATGATTCCCAGTATTGTATGATTATCTACCATTTTATCATCTGATGTGACTTCCCTATGTGTTGTAAATGCTATCAATGTGATGTAATAAAATGGATTATTGGCAGTTATATTGATGAGGTCTACAAGATTAGATAGTGTCTTAAGTCAATCTCTTTTGAGACATAAGAGAGAGAGGCAAGCAGAGAGACATAGGAACCTCATACCATCAAGAAAGCAGTGTCGGGAGCAGAGCATGTCCTTTGGACCTGAAGTTCCTGCACAGAGAAGCTCCTAGACCAAGGGAAGATTGACAACAGACCTTCCTCCAGAGCTGACAGAGAAAGCCTTCCCCTGGAGCTGACGCCCTGAATTTGGACTTGTAGCCTACTAGACTGTGAGAGAATAAATTTCTCTTGTTAGAGCCCTCCACTTGTGGTACTTCTGTTAGAGCAGCACGAGATGACCGAGACACCGTATGTTAGCTCTGAGAACCATCGTGTCACACAGCCACGCACCCGTTGCTGTCAACAGTACCTCGTCAGTGTGGTGGTGTCATCAAAAGCACTTTAGCAAGTTGTGTGTGTGTTCCAACCAGTCCGTCTCTATACTCAGACTACTGGAAAGGAGATCGGTGAACGTTCCAAAATGACACGTTACAGCCACACTGGTCCCCGCCCGGGCTCAGGAGCCCGCCAGGCCGAGGGGCGTCAGAGCAGCCCCTCCAGTAACGGATGCTGCACTCCTCTACCCAAGGCTCAAGAATCTATACGAAAATGGCCCAAGGCCCCTAGATGATGGTCAGCCCGGAACACGGAAACAGCTCCCCGCTGCTAGCTCCGTCCTTCATGTTTCAGAACCCAGAAGAGGGTGATTATGGACCTTTTTGGCTCTGTCATCCTTGAGGACTCAAATGGTTACACTTCTCAGCCACTAACCAGAAGGTTAGCGGTCAAGTCCACCTAGGGGCACCTAGGAAGAAAGGCCTGGCAATGTAGTTCAAAAAAATCAGCCATTGAAAACCCTATGGAATACAGTTCTACTCTGACACACACACGGTCACCAGGAGTCAGAATCGACTGACAGCAACAGGTTCGGTTTTTTGATTGTTGGGTCTGCCAAGCACCAAGGTACAGGGAAATGGAAGTTGGCCTTCTGAGAAGAGAGTGTGGGAGGCGCAGAACCAACTCTGGGAGCCATGCCGCGTACTTCAAGAGCCAGTGAAGGTCCCTGCAGCAACTGGGCTACTGCTGCAATCTTAAAATACAACGCTGCTTCTAGAGAGGCGACACATGCGGTGGGTCAGACATGCGCTCTGGAGGAAGTGGGCCTGAGGTCAAATTCTAGCTCCACAGCGCTAGCTGTAGGGCTCTGGGCCCGTTATTTAACCCTCCTGGTCCCATTCCTGGGGCCTGGTGGCTCAGTGGTTAGGAGCTCAGCTGCTAACCAAAAGGCCAGCAGTTCAAATTCACCAGCCGCTCCTTGGAAACCCCGTGGGGCAGTTCTACCCTGTCCTATAAGGTCACTGTGAGTCGGAATCGACTCGACGGCACTGGGTTTTTTGCGGGGGCGTAGGGTGCTGTTCTTGGATCTGTAAAATAAAGACGGCAGTTTCTGCGCTCAGGGACCGCCGGGAGGACGGGCTGGGTTGAGCAGTGGGAGCGGGTCTGCGCTCAGGAAGAGAGCCCCGCTCTCCCTGGGGCCCTGTGCACCACCAGCTCCCAGGGCATTAAAGGCGGAAATCCAATGCAGTGGCGCAGGGACCAAGGCCCACAGAGACGGTCATCTCAAATCCAGAAGGAACCATGTCCCTGGATGGGAGTCCTGTCCTGGCATAGTTCTGGAAAGAACGGATCTGCTAAGGTCACAACTTCGTAAGGGGCCTAGCCCCCTACGCTTAGTGAGCTAGGCCACAAAGCCCCCCACTCGAGACGCAGCGGGAGTTGGTGGAGAGCTCAGAGCTGGTGCCAGCCCTCACTTCACTAAGCCACTCGGTCCTGTGTGTGACAGAGACCACTCCAGGCCGCCACACTCACCGCTCTAAGCAAACTGCCGCTGAGAGGGAAGTCCTCGGAGCCGCCGGCCGCGCAGGCACATCGCGTGGGAAAGCAAACCCACAAGGCAGTCTTCCAGGCCGCACCCTGTAGATCTGAACTACCTCTCTCCTTCCAATAAGTCCCTCCATCATTCCCGCGCAGGGTCTGCAGGTCACCTGGAGAACACGGAACCACAGCCTGCTGCGTGGTGGGTCCAAAGATGGGCAGCAGCCTCACCAGGGGCTCAGGAGGAACACGGGATCTCAAGCGCCCCCAGACCGGCTGCATCAGAACCTGCAGTTTAAGGAACGCCCACACAGTTCCTGAGCACGCGCCAGCGTGGAAGGTGCTGCCCTAGAGGGCGTTTTCTCGTCGGTAAGCCTGACCTTCTCTATGAAAGAAGGTGCCCTCCACACAGACCGCCGCCACCTGCTGCAGCTTTTCCTGCCTAAGCGCCTGGAGAACAAACTTGCCTGTGACTATTGCGAGCCCTCTGGAGCAGTGACGACCGACCGTCTGCGACATGCCGCACCGTATTGTAAAAACACTGCCACAAATAACGACACGGGATCGGCCACACGGACAAAGACTTTATTGTATGCGTGGTTTAGTTAAAATCCATGTGAACAGTTACGCTTAGCACATTTCTGACGCACCACACTGGAAAACATAAACACAAAGTCAGTTCACTCAAGTACATCCCACGTTAAACTAATTTTCTTATTTTCTTTTTCTTTTTAGCTTTCTTCGATACCACAATAAAATGGGACAAGAAGAGTAATAAGAATAAAAATACAAAACGTCATTCTTAAAAATCTTTAATTTACAAATCACATTTCATATTTCCAAAACTATTTTCTAGGCCCTACTTCCCATGGAGCCCTGGTGGTGCAGTGGTTGAGCGCTTGGCTGCTAACAGAAAGGTGAGTGGTTCAAACCCACCAGCTGCTCCACGGAAGAAAATATGGCAGTCTGCTTCCGTAAAGATCACAGCCTTGGAAACCCTATAGGGCAGCTCTCCTCTGCCCTGTAGGGTCTCCAGGAGTCAGAATAGACTCAATGGCAGTGGGGTGTGGGTATTCCCCATGGACAGGGAGTCAATAAACCACACTCAGAGCTGGGCGGCCCTGGGCGGCTGCAGCCTGCAGAGGAGACAAACACAGTCGGGGTCAGACAGCACCGCCTTCACCTCCTCTGGCCGCCTCACCTCCAGGGGGCTGAGGCTGAGGCTGCCCCCATCAGCAGGAAAGCAACCTCAGCACGTGTTCACAGTCACGGCGATCACTAAAGGCCCAGGTCGGCATCTTCAGACAGGAACCACAAGCCAGTTAGGAAGGGGGGTGGTCCTCCCCTCGGATGCTCCGATACTTGGCCATGTCTTCAGGGAATACTTTAGAAAGTTCCTGAATCAACAGGCTTTTAAATTTCTATGAAGAAAAACGCACACTGTGACACATCTCTCAGACCCATCGCTCCAGTTAAAGACTATATACACCACACACATACACACACCACACACACACCACACACACACACACCACGTATATACACACATACACACACCACACACACACCGCACACATATACACACACATACACACACCACACACCACACACATATACACACACATACACACACCACACACACACTACACATATACACACACATACACACACCACACGCACACCACACACACCACATATACACACCCATACACACACCACACACCGCACACATATACACACACCACACACACACACACCACATATACCACACGCCCTGCACACATATACCACACACACACACACACACCCCCACACACACCCCAGAGTGCTCCCACGACCAGGCTCACCCAGAAGAGCAGCCCCCGCGGCGCCCCTCACCCTGGGTGAAGGCTCCTGCCTGCTGGCCCGGCACCCACGCAGACACAGGGCAGGCCGTCACAAAGGAGGCTTCGCGGCCACCGTGAGAGGCACACAAAGAACCAGCCGGGAGAGGAACGCACATTCAAACCCAACCTCTCCCCTCCTGCTGCAGGTCGTGGGGCGCCAGCCACGCAGGCGGAAACAGCTCTGCAGACGGCCCGCGGACGGCAGTCTGGCGTGACACTGGGCGAAGCGACACTGGCTCAGCCACCCCAGACCCCCGTGTGCAGACAGCTCTGGGAAGCTCTCGGAGCTCCTAACTGCTCACCACAGCAACATCTGCTGCAGCCCGCCTTCCAGGCAGGGAAGGGCCTGGCCATCCCAACACCCTCCTCTTGTCAGCTGTACTAAAGACAAAGCAGCCCTAACAGGGCAGTGGTTAAGGGCTCGGCTGCTAACCGAAAGGTCGGCAGCCTGAACCCTCCAGCTGCTCCTCGGGAGAAAGATGGGGCGGTCAGCGTCTATAAAGATTTACGGCCTTGGAAACTGTGTGGGGTAGGTCTACTCTGTCCTACACGGTCACTACGAGTCAGAATCAACTCAGTAACAACGAGTTTGGGTTTTTTTTTTTTATTTTTATACCAAAAAGAAGCACAATGGACACAGACACAAAATACACTTGAATCGTTTAAAATTACTTTCCAAAGGAGAACTTGAGTTCAACGCTACAACAATCACTTCAATCCTGACCCTTGATGTCTAAGAGCAGGGCACACGCGGCAAACGGGCCTCAGAGCTGGGACTCTGGCAGAACTCAGCTGTAAGACAACGGCACCAAACAGCAACCGATGCAAAGCGAACATCAACTGAGCCGTCACGCGGCGCTGCTGCCTTCAGTGGGCTTCCTGATCTGTCAGAGGCGTGGGGTTTAACAGAAGCCCGTGGAAACAGAGACCGCATCACGCGTGTATCAGCAACCACAACAGAGAGGTAACTGCCTGACAACACAACTCAGTCCTCTTTCTCAAGCAGAACAAGACCGTCTAAACGGCCTGTGACTGGTACTGATAAGAAGCCACGTGATACCACAGCTGCAGGGGGGCTGCCTCAGTCCTGAACGAGACGCTGAGCCAGAGACTGCTCAGACCCACGGGCACTGGCAAAGCGGGCATCACTGTGATGTAATAAGATGGATTAGTGGCAGTTATACTGATGATGTCTACAAGATTGGATAGTGTCTTAAACCAATCTCTTTAGAGATATAAGAGAGAAGCGAGCAGAGACACATGGGAACCTCATACCACCAAGAAAGCAGTGTCGGAAGCAGAGCGTGTCCTTTGGACCTGAGGCTCCTGCGCTGAGATGCTCCCAGACCAAGGGAAGACTGACGCATCACAAGGACCTTCCTCCAGAGCTGACAGAGACAGAAAGCCTTCCCCTGGAGCTGATGCCCTGGATTTGGACTTGCAGCCTACTAGACTGTGAGAGAATAAATTTCTCTTTGTTAAAGCCATCCACTCGTGGTATTTCTGTTACAGCAGCACTAGATGACTATGACGGGGGAAGACATCTGGGCTTCGTCCTCTCAGCTAAGACACAGCAACATCTCTGGACGCCTTTCTCAGCAAGCACAAAATCTCCTGCGCGGGATGTCAGGACACAACGCAGCTTCCACGGCAGCGTAGCCGGCACGTGGAACCCGTTCCACACCACCTCTGCCCTGTGCCTCCCCTTGGCCAGGCGCCCGCTGAGCGCCCAGATGTTCAGACACTGTCCAGGCACCATGCGCCCGCCAGGCCCAGGGTGGACACTGAGGCTTCGCAGGAACAGATGCTCAGGTTCCCTGTGACCCCACAGCCTAACCAGCCAGTGGAGGGGACAGAATAGAGAAAAAGAGGAGATGGAGGAGCTCCCAGCAGAGGAGCAGCACGAGAAGAACCTGCAGAAAAGGAGTCCAGCGTACTCCAGGAAAGAAAGGGAGCCGTGCAGGCTGCGGGCAGGGCGGGGCTCCACAGCGCCGGCCACAGTGAGAAGGATTCCCAGAGAAACGGGGAGCTACCAAAGGGAGCGACGACGCCCAACTAAAAAACACTCACCAATCGGAACCCCATTTAAGTCAAGTAAGAAAAAAATCACGTATTTCAGGTTCAAGATGCTGAGTTTTCTAAATCTCATCAAAGCAAAGAAAAACAGAGTATGTTCTCTGTGGGGAATGTCCTCAGAGGCAACAGGGTGCCAAGATGTGGGGAGTGGACGTTGGGGACAGTCGTGGTGAGCGAGAAGACAACGTTCAGAAATTCTCTACACCAACTGTCATGGATTGAACCGTGTCCCCCAGAATATCTGTCAGCTTGGCTAGATCATGATTCCCAGTATTGTATGACTGTCTACCACTTTGTCATCTGATGTGATTTCCCTATGTGTTGTAAATCCTCTCACTATAATGTAACAAGATGGATTAGTGGCAGTTATACTGATGAGATCTACAAGATTAGACAGTCTCTTAAGCCAAATTCTTTTGAAATATAAAGAGAGAAACAAGCAGAGAAACACGAGTACCTCATATCACCAAGAAAGCAGTGCCGGGAGCAGAGCACATCCTTTGGACCCGAGGTCCCTGCTGAGATGCTCCCAGACCAAGGGAAGACTGACGCATCGCAAGGACCTTCTCCCAGAGCCGACAGAGAGAAAGCCTTCCCCTGGAGCCGACGCCCTGAATTCAGACTTCTAGCCCACTGGACTGTGAGAGAATAAACTTCTCTGTTAAAGCCATCCACTTATGGTATTTCTGCTATAGCAGCACTAGATGACCAAGACACCAAAGAAGCCCCGTCTCCAGGAAAAGTCCTCAACACAGGAGTCAGAAAGCATCCATACAAGTGTGACCTCGAGAATGGACCTGAAGTCTTTTTACAAACATGGCAACAGTTAACCGGTGACAACTAACAATCACAAAAATTAACCCGGGACTTCTTCAAGTAAGGCCACCACTTCACCACATTTCTCACCACACAGCTCACTGATATTTAACGTCACCGCCTATCACACGACTCCTCACGAGAGTCGGCGTTCTACAGCTGCGGGAAAGCAGGCAGGGCCCGTCAGCCCAGCTCTGCTCCGCGAGGACCTTTCCGCGCGTGTCCCGACACCGCCTCCTGCCTTACCTTCATGGTGTCAATCTTGCCTTTCACCTGCTCGTTTTTCGCCAGCGCCCTCTCCAGGCACTCTTTGGTGTAGAGCTGGGGGTTTCGACCCTGATCTATGTATCTGGAAACAAGAAACATCTCAGTTAACATTCCTGTGGGCGATACCTACTCTCAGGGTTTTCTGGGAATAAAAACCAGCTGTATAAAGAGGGGCTACTTCACAGATGAAACTATGTCCAGGGACCAGCTGAACCAGGATCCCCTCACCTACACAAGCACACGCAACTGGACCTCGTCTCACTTCTAATAACACAAATAGCTCAGGAAGGCCAGCGGTGCTCACTCTGAACTCAGGCGAGTTCCACAAGCCCGTGCCACTTCACGTTGCCTGGCGTCTGTATTTTTCAAAATGCTTTCATTGCATTCCTGACCTTTCACAACACCCTGTGCAGTAAGGTAGCTTTCACCCGCTCCCAACAAAGGAAGCAGCACAGCCTAGGGTCTGGCCTCAGAAACAAGGACGAGTAGCAGGACGCGGCCTCCACTCCAGGCCTGGCCCTATCGCTCGGGAAACCGTTTGTGGAGGGGCTTCAGGGACTGCCAGAGGGGATACAAATGAGGGCAGAGCCACATCCAGAATCCCCCAGCCCCCTACTTCCACAAGATTATTTTACAGCTCCAGGGGGGCGGGATTTCCGCCTGTTCTGCTCACTGACCTGTTCCCAGCACCTGGGCTGTGCTGATCACACAGCAAGCACTTAGCCACCTGTGGTCGAAGGCGCCTTACCCCACAAGCAAACAAGAATCTTCCCCAGTGAATATGGGAAAGGCTACTTACTCAAAAACTTCTAGAGGTACCATAATATCATGAAGCTGCTGTCTGCACTTATCAATATCCTGCAAGCCAGTAACGATGAAATTCCTGGGCAAAGACAAAAACAGGGACACTGGTGAATTCAGACGACTGCATACCCACCACCAGCAGAGCGCCCAATGAGGCTCCCCACAGCTCTCCTCTCACCTACATGGGCTTCCCTCGGCTTAAAGCTTTGGTTATCTACGGAATCTCCAGGACAGCCGTGGGGTCACAGAACACCCTCAAATAGGTGTTGATTTCCCTTCTAAACGAGAAATTGCCGGTATGGGTGGGGTGGCCAACCCTTTTGAGAGTCTGATGAAAACCACGGTGATGTACCCAAGATTTGAGTGAACTGTGGGACGGCGAGCTCCAGCTTAAGCACCCACACTCTGGGCAAAGAAAGCTAGCTGTCCACGCCTCTGGCTCCTTTCTGCATCACCTGCATGGGCCAGGTCCCGCTATCTCCACAGCAGCGGGTATGTCACCCAGCCACAGCGCTGAGGCCCCGGTTGTCTGTGTCCTTCCAGGGTCTAGCACTGTGGCCAGCATAAGGCTGCTGGTAAACATTCCTTATCAAATGTTCCTTCCCACCGCCACCCACCCCAGCTCCCCACATTCAGGCTGGGGCAGCAGGAACCACACTCCCCGAAGGCTTCCGAGGAACAGCTGGGAGGGAGCCACCCCGGGGCGGGAAGAGGATCGGAGATGAAGCTCCCTTTGACGGGCCCAGACACGGAAACTGCATGTCCGGCCACGGCCACGTCTCCAAGCCGGCACTAAGAAAAGTCCAGCAAAGCCAGGCGACCGGGCGGCAACACGGACGCCGCTCGACGCCTAAGGGGCGGCCGGAGGCGGCCCCCCACAAGCGGACTCGGGAGCAGGTCCAGCGGGGCGAGCAGGCGTCGGCCTGCGGCGGGCCCCGGCCCCGCGAGCACCCCGCCCGGCCAGCCCGGGGAAGCGGCCCGCCCGCGGGGACCGCCGCCACTCACAGCTTCTGGTTGAGCCCGGCCTGGCTGCTGGGCTGGAAGTCGCTGACGATGATGCCGAGCTGCCGGATGTTCTCCACGAACTTCTCCAGGTGCTCCTCCAGGTGGTCGAACTTCTCCGCCATCGCCGCGCGCTAATCCGCCCCAGCGGCCCCCCCGGCCGCCGCCCGTCCCGCTGCGCGCTTCCCGCTTCCGCCCGGCTTGCCGTCACTTCCGCTTCCTCCGGGGCGGGAGGAAGCGGTGGGGCCTGGATGCCAGAACAAGCGGGCTGTCGGAGGCGGGGCCTAGACGCTGGGGGCGGGGCCGGAGAGTCGGAGGAGGGGCCTGGGCACTGGGGGCGGGGCCTGAAGGCTGGCGAGGGGAGCCTGGATGCTGGAGTGGGCGGGACGTTATGGGTCTGGGTGCTGGGACTGACAGAATGTTGGGGCCAGGACCTGGGTGCTAGGGCGGGGTTTGGGAGCCGGGGGCGGGGATTTGGCGCTGGGGCGGGGCCTGGATGCTGGGGCGGGATATGGGTACCGGGAGCCGGCCCGGGAGCTGGCAGCCTGGTCATGGACTTCTGCAAGGCTCCCCAACACGTGTCTGCTGGGCCAGATGCTCAGGAGTGATCCAGCAGGTCTTGGTCCTCAGGACCGCCCTGCTTGTTCCAGTGGACGGCAAACAGCGTGGACCTGAGACCTGACTCTGCCTCCACGGGCCCTGGACCTTGGATGAGTTCTCAACCGCCGAGCTTCTGTTCTCCGTAAGCAGAGATTAGACCACCTGAGAGCTGCCTGAGTTTAGAGGAGATGACGCTGGGGCAAGAGAAGCCCCCAGTAGTGCTTTCCCCCACGGGAAAATGACTGGTATGAAAATGAGTATGCTGTCATTAGGTGCCGTCGAGTCGGTCCCGACTCTTGGCGACCTTACGCACAACAGAACGAAACACTGCCCGGTCCTGGGCCATCCTCACAGTCCTTGTTATGCTTGAGCCCATTGTTGAAGCCACTGTGTCAGTCCTTCTCATTGAGGGTCTTTCTCTTTTTCGCTGACTCTCTACTTTACCAAGCATGATGTCCTTCTCCAGGGACTGGTCTCTCCTGATAACGTGTCCAAAGTACCTGAGGCTTAGTCTCACTTCCAAGAAACACTCTGGCTGTACTTCTTTCAAGAATATGTATATACTATATATATTCCAAATATGCAAATTCCATACACCAAAAACCAAACCCATCGCCGTGCAGTCAATTCTGACTCATAGGGACTCTGCCCCACAGGGTTTCCAGGAAGCAACTGGTGGATTCAGACCACAGACCTTTTTGTTAGCAGCCGAGCTCTTACCACTGGCGCCACTAGGGCTCCGCAAATTACATATACATATTGTAAATTATTTAAATAATACAGAAAACATATACAGTTGTCACCCGGTATCCACAGGGGATTGGTTCCAGGATCCCTGTGAATACCAAAATCGGTGGATGCTCAAGTCCGTTATATAAAATGGTGTAATATTTGCATAGAACCTACACAATCCTCACATATACTATAAATCATCTCTAGATTACTTACAATACCTAATACAATGTACATGCTAAGTAAACAGTTGTTAATGCTTACACTTAACACTTACTGCCTTCTCAGTCTTTGCAAGCACTTTATCATGCACCAGAGAGCCCATTTTTGCCATATTTGGGCAGCACTAACACTTCCATGAAGTTCAGCTTCTTTCTGCTCTATTGTGCAAATGCTCGATTTGTTCTTACCGACCTTACGGCCCACTTCGGCAAGTGATATGCCACTGTTCAAAAAATCTAAGAATTTTATCTTCTTGTCGAGAAATAGCACTTTACCTCCCTCCTTACCTCAGAGGGATTGCTTTTTAGGAGCCACTTTTTCACAGAAACAAAGGGTGCACACAACAGAAGCAGCAAGGAATGCATGAGGTGAACGGCGCTCAGAAACACCATGCTGGAGAGAGACTGAGGGCCGTGAGACAGCGGGAGGCTACAGTCGGGGATGCCTGCACATCACTTCATTCCTGTGGATTCAGCAGAGTGGTCAGCATGCCGCAAAGTCAAGTTTTGCTTTTTGGAATTTCCTTTTTTTTTTTCCCAAATATTTTCAATCTGCAGTTGGTTGAATTTGGGGATGCGGAACTTGCGGATACAGAGGGCTGACTACAATGAAGAAAAGGGAAACGTCGCAGAAATCTCTCACCCTGACTTAAGCCATCTGTAAGACTGTGGAGCCACTCCTACCTGCCCTCCTCTATGTGCTGGTATAGATGCTCCTGGGACGCAGATGTGCTCAGCTTCTCATCCCCGCTCCAGCACCTGTGCAGACCCAGCCCAGCCACATCCCTCCTGGTAGGCTGTTCTGTCCTCGGCCAGGTCCTTCCTGGAGCCACCCAGCTCTGCCTGACCCAAAAGGTAGCCTAGGCTGGCTTCACACCTGCCTCTTCCCCAGCACCAAGCTGACATCCCCAAATAAATACATTAGTGGCCAGGGCACCTCATGGTGACTCAAGAGTCTAGTGTCACCACAGAAGCCATCCAGTACCACCCTCTGCCAGCTGCGCCAGAGGTGGAGAAGCATCTTCAAACAACACCCACATTGATGAGAATCCTGTTTGCATGAAGGCCCCAGTAAGGCAGCCTCCCTGGGCCTCGGGTGCAGTCCTTCAGGTCTGTGCCAGCCTCCCTTCTTCCCTCCCACTGTGATTCGCCACCACATCCTCTAACCCTTACAACTACACGCCTCCCGCACGGCTCTCCTCTCTCTGACTCTCACAACCGTGCTGGGCCAGGCCCTCACCCCTCATGCCAACTATAATAAAGTAAAAGCCTATGGGGGTCCCCACTTCTGAAGAATAATCTTTCCTACTAGACAAAGCTTTTACTAAACTACTGTTCATGTATCTTACTAAAGTTCAGTTCTGATCATATCACTCTCATGCTTAAGAAACCGTTCTGCCCATCTTCTAGGACTAGCACGCATTAGCTCCTCTGGTTGTCGTTAGCTGCCTTCCTGTCGACTCCAGCTTACGGTGACGGTGTGCACAACAGAAGCAAACATTGCCCATCCTGCGGCATCCTCACAGTCGCCAGCATTCCAGTCCGTTGCTGTGGCTATTGTACAAATCCATCTCCCTGAGGGTCTCCCTCATCCTCACGGGCCCTCTGCTTCATCAAACGTGATGTCCTCCTCCAGTGACTGATCCCTTCTGATGACGTGTCCAAAGTAATCGAGTCGGACAATGCTCTGTTGTGATCCATAACATTTTCATTGGCTAATTTTTGGAGGTAGATCACCAGGCCTTTATTCCTAGTCCGTCTTAGACTGGAAGCTCCACTGAAACCTGTCCACCCTGGGTGACCCTGCTGGTATTTGAAATACCAGTGGCTTGACTTCCAGCATCACAGCATCAGGCAAGCCCCCACAGTACGGCGCACTGACAGACGGCTGAGGTTCTTTTTAGAAGCCTCGTGGAATTCCTAGAGCCACAGCGATCTCTTCTTCTGTGAATACTCCTAACCATCATTGCCTGGGCTTTCATTTCCTGGAGGCTCAAGCAAAACGAGGGCCTTCCTTTTCTAGATGACCTCCAAAGCTTCCGCCAGCGCCGACCAGAAACAGAAACCCAGAGTGGGTCAGCGTTTCGTCAAACTTACCGGATCAGAGAGTCCAATCAATGAGCCGACTGAACTGGTGTGGACGGCCTCTCTTCTCACTCTGAATACACAGAAATGATGGATTAAATACTCTTCCCTGAATTAAAAAAAATTAACTTCAGAGGAATCTTAAAACAAGGTGGAAATAAAACACAATAAAAAACAAGGATGATGAGGGGAAGGGATTAAAAGTTCTGTATTCCAGAAAAAATATAAAGATAGATATTGATGTATCTTAAGCTTTGTTACATATTTATTTTTAAAATTTGAGGGTGTCATGGATTGAATTATGTCCCCCAAAAAATGTGTGTGTCAGTTTGTCTGGGCCATGATTCTCAGTATTGTGTGCTTGGCCTCCATTTCGTGATTGTAATTTTATATTAAAGAGGATTAGGATGGGACTGTAACACCCTTACTAAGGTCACATCCCTGATCCAGTGTAAAGGAAGGTTCTCTGGGGTGTGGCCTGCACCACCTTTTATCTTACAAAGACGGACCATATGAGTATGCATTGCTTGATGTCCACGATACAGTCTGTGAAACAGGACATTATACAATTTGGACATTGTGCGAACACTATATTATATACAGACAGAGGTGCACAGGATGGTCACCAGGTGGGGCCGGGATCCCCCACCACAACTGCCATTCTGAGGGAACATGTGAAACCTTGGCTCTGGTGGTCTGCGTGGTCACCACCTGGTCTCCAAGAGCCATGCTTGGCCTCCACCCACCTGCCGCAGCAGCATCCTCGTCGTCCAGCCAGCTGCTTCCCAGCCCACCGCCACCAGCTCCTTTCCCTTCCTTTCTCCCTGCTGCCTTCCCCACCCCTTAATGGGATTTCAACTTTTCCAGCCCCACCCACCCCTCCTCCTCCTCCATCTCTGGCTCCTTCCCTGGTTGCCTTTCCTGCTCCTCCTCCTACTACCGCCACAGCCCAGATGACCCAGCAGCTGCCACCTTGGGAGGAGCCCCAGCCTCAGGCCCAGGCGTCACCCGTAGGACACCCAGGCCAAGTGGGGCAGCGGTCTCAGTGGGGCATCCCCTTGGCAGCTCCAGCAGCATCTGCATGGTCCCTGCCTGAGGCAAGCACAATGGGACTGGCAGCTGCGGATGGGCACCAGGATCTCCTCCCCGTGACACCCCAGGGCCAGGACAGACACAAAACCCAGGGAGCTAGTAAGAGATGGATCAGATCTGTGTACTTAGCAAAGTACATCTGCTATGTCCCATTCTCTGATCGGGATTTCTGAACCCTATTATAGCCTTGGAGCCCTCGTGGTGCAGTGTTTAAGAGCCTGGCTGCGAATTGAAAGGTCAGCAGTTCGAATCCACCACCTGCTCCTTGGAAACCCTATGGGGCAGTTCTGCTCTGCCCTATAGGGTCCCTATGAGTTGGAATCTACTTGACAGCAATGGGTTTTTTATTATTATTATTATTATTATTATTATCTTATAGGACCATGGATGTATACACGGTTGGATGTTGTCCGAATAGACTTTAAGTGACTATCTTAGTCATCTAGTGCTGCTATAACAGAAATA